TCTCACAACTATTCTACACGAGGACAAAAAAAAATAAAAACGCCCTATTATAAACTAAGCAGGCCTAAAAATAACAGTCTAAGGATAGACTTATACAATATCGTTCCTGATTGTATCAAACTTTACAATTTTTTTTTAATTTAAAAGAGTTGTTAAGGCGTACTTATTGAGCCATTCTTTTTATAACGTAACTGGGTATTTACATACGCCTAGGAAAACTTCAATAATTTTAATGATATTTATTTATTTCATTGTTTGTTTACATTTTCTTTTGTGTACGTGTGTAGTAGTATTCACTTCAGTCATTTTTACCTTTACTTGTTTATATTTTATCTCTGTTTTGTCTCTTTTTAACAAAAATTTTAAATTGTTTATAATCTATATCATTCTGTTTTAGCTACATGGTTTGACTAGCTTTTATTTATTTGATATTTTAAACTGTTTTTACTATTTTTTTTATGTATACATTTTACTAATTTATTATTTACTATATTTACTGTCGTGTCAAAACGGACAAATAAAGATTGATGGATCAGCCAAAAAACCGCAATTAGATCGTGAATATTTTAGGAAATAAAAAGCGGGTCCAAATCTCAAACAGGCAGCATCCACAGGGATTTAGTGGATAAGTGGAGGGAAATCTTGCGCTCTGGTCTTATCGATAAAGACCGCGAAGAATTGCTAAACAAGTATCGCGTACCCCAAAATTGTTGTCAGATTTCCACTCCAATTTTGCATGAGTTTTTAAAAGCGACTGTTGAAAAGAGTGTTGTGGAGAGCGATGCAAAATTTATTAATAAACAGAATCAATTTTCGGTTTGTTTATCCGCAATTGGACACTGCCTTACAAAGATTTTTTATAATTTATAATTTTGTAATTCTTGTTACTAAGAACATATGAATGGCCGGGTTTTCTGTGTCAGTAAATATTCCTTAAACCTCAAGCAACTTTGCAGATGAAAATGCGCAATCCAATTTTTGTATTTGTTAACATATTTAAATTAAATTAAAAATTTAAATTTTGTATGTACGCACCTCAAGTTTTTTGTTTGAAATTTTGACCACAGATGTTTCTAGTAAAGACGAGCATATTGCATATTTATATTTGATTTTGATCAAATGATATTCGACAGTACAAGGAAGCAGAATTGTATCGATAACATCTTTGTTAATTTCAAGGTAAACCTTGAACATGTTTCTGTAATAGATCATATACTCTCCGATCATAAAGGACAGGAGATAAAATTGCGGCTAGGTTCAGATGTTACAAATAAAGAAAAAATTTACGCCAAATGTAGACCCTTTACCCAAAAGGGAAAATTTTTGTAGTACCAATGTTTGAGCAACACAAACTGGAACTTTTTAAAGGATTGTAGTAGTCCCAGCGAGGTTAGGTTTAATATATTTTTTAATATAATTCTACAAGAATTTGATAATTGTTTACCAGTCAAGTGTAAACATTTTAATAAAAATCAAAAATCAATTTCCTGGTTTAACTAGCATTTAAGTAGGATGAGGGAAAAACTCTCACTGATAAAAGATGTTTATAACGCATACAATACCAGTCCCCTACGTACACTTAGGAATAACTTTAGACAAACATATCGTACTGAACTAAGGAAAGCGAAAATGTGTGCAAATAAATCATTTATCAACAATGGCAAAAATTCTAGTAAGGCCATGTGGTCGATTATCGATTCTTCTAGAAACACTAATCGTCAGGAAAGTCTATCGAACCTAACACCTGAAGAGTTTAATACATATTTTAAAGAAATTCCAGCGAAAATCACCAACAGAATTAATTCTACTTCTTCTGCAACATTAAGCACGAGCTCATTTTATCGGATTAATAATCAGGCTCCCCACTTAAAATTTTTTTGCACGAAGTAAGCATCATTGAGGTAAGAGACGCCATTACGTCTTTATCTAATAGTAAATGTCGAGACATATATGATCTTTCTGCAGAAATTGTAAAATGTCTAAGGGATTTAATTTTTTTTTAAATAAACTACGTAATATATTTAAGAAAAGGTTACAACATAACAAATATTACAAATAAAATTGTTAAAAAAAAAAATTTAGCGTATACTTAAAATATAAAAAATTTCATTAAATGCTGTCTGTTGCGGTAAAGTGCCTAAAATTAAATATTAAATTGTATTACCACTAACAGTGTTAATTAATGAGTGTTTTAGGGAAGGGACGTTTCCAAAGGCATTGAAACGGTCTATAATTTTACCTTTGTTTAAAAAGGGCGACAAAGAGGATGTTTCAAATTATAGGCCGATATCAATACTTCCCATTTTTTCAAAAATTTTTGAAAAGATCTTAAAAAATCGCATACTGAATTATTTTAAGGCCAATAATATTTTTAATAATGCACAATACGGTTTTAGATCAAAAAGATCTATCTAGTACAATGTTAAATACATTTAATGAAAATAATTATACAACAGCAACTTTTCTAGATTTAAGCAAAGCTTTGGATTGTGTAAATCATCAGATCTTGTTAAATAAGTTGAAAGCATATAATTTTGATGAAATTTCCATTAAACTCATGCAATAATATCTCGAAGAACGTTCTCAAACTGTTAGATATAACGCTTTATTCTCAAAAGAAATATGTGTACAGTCTGGTGTTCCACAAGGTTCCATTTTAGGGCCTGTGCTTTTCTTAATTTATATAAATGACCTTCTACAGTTAATGGACATTTCATATTATATGCCGATGGCACTACAATACTAAGCTCTGGTTCTAGTCTAGAAATAACAAATATAAGAAGTATAGATCTTCAAGGGCAGACCAAGTCTTGGTTCCACTTGAACAAGTTGTCTTTAAATGAAGACAAAACAGAAGTTTTAACTTTTACGATGAGAAGGGACACTGATGTAATTAACCATAAGCCGGTGAAATTTCTAGGCGTCTATCTGGACTCCACACTTTCATGGACACGCCATATTGACGAGCTCTCCTCAAAACTGAACAGAACTGTGTTCTTACTCCGTAATTTAACAAACCATGTTTTTCCGGAAGTTACGTGCACTGCGTACTTCGGATTATTCCATGCCATAATGAATTATGGTATTTTAATATGGGGTCACTGCTCCTCTGTATCTAGAATCTTTAAAATACAAAGAAGAGTGGTTAGAATATTGGCTAATCTAGACTATCAATCTGATTGCAGGCAAGCAAGGATTTGCCACCCTCACTTTCACAATTATGTACCAAATTTAAATGCCACTACTTATTTACGTATGGTACGGCCCTAATAGTTTTTTTTAGCCATCTTTGCAAAAATTTTTAAATGGCTATTCACTAGATTCTAAATCGTTTTTCTCTTACATTGCATACTTAAAATGACTTGTGTAAACACCATGTGTAAAACATCAATAAATATTATTATTATTATGAAAATCAGATATGCGCATGCGCAAACGGTGCAATGTCAATTTCCTTATTTATAGGGATATTTCTTTGAAATTTTAAGCACAGATTCTTCCAGAAAAGCCAAGCATATTGTATATTGTAAAAATCATATGGGCGCATGCGCAAACTGCGTAATGTCACCTTATAATTACAGAAATATCTTTTTGAATTTTAAACAAAGATTATTCTTGTAAAGGCAAACATATCGCATACTTTAAATATCAGGTGTGTGCATGCGCAGACTGCGCAAGTTTCTTATTTATAAGAATATTTATGCCACTATTGTCTTCTTGAAAATATATTTCGTATAATATACAATTAGTATTAATAAACTTGAATACAGTAACTCCCACCTCAACCCCAAAACATTCTTACGCTCGATCTTACGATAGCAATTACATTGATGATTAGTCAATCGGCATTATGAGCTATTAACCATTTTCATTTAGGTAATGACCATGGAAAATTATGCATGGGAAACAGGAATGGCGCAAAGATATCTTTTTATGGCGCATTTTAGCGCATACCTAGGAGTACAATTTATGGAAAAAATGTTAAAAAAGGTGACTTTTAAAAATGCTAAGTTGGGCTCCCCACTTTTTGAAAATCTGTCATGGCTAAACCGTGATGGCGCTAGCTTTAATTCAAGTAGCGCAATTGAGCGCATAACCAAATGTATCAGGTAGCCTTGGTACCAGCGACAAAATACGCACGGGGGAGGGGGGGGGGCTACGTACACTTGTCCCCTCCCAAATGTATTTTTGGATTTCTAAAAAACTATAATGGCGCAAAAGGTATTATCGGTGGCGCATGTGAGCGCATAACGAGCGCAATAATACGACTATCAAATCTCTAGGTGGGGGGGGGGGGGAGTTAACGGACCCGATTCAACCACTACTGAGGACGAGTTTCATGTTCACTGCTTAAATTTGAAAACCGTTGGCGCTTCAGATTTTAACGAAAAAATACGAAAAATTGACTGAAAAGGATTGCGCCTTTAAGGGGTGAGCAAAATTTAATTTTAAAGCACTAAGTTTCACAATGCAGACAACAAGCTAGGATGCGCTTCACTTTAAAAGCCTAAATGTCGACTTAAGCTTGAGGTTTCTGAGGAAAAATTCGGAAAGCTGACCGCGAACGTGCTTAATTTGACAAGGAGGATGCACTTCCCTTGAAACCGACGGTATGCGCTTTTTATCCTACTGACAATACGGATTTTCCATTCTCAGTTTTTTGGGGCCATAACTTTTCGCAGCTTAGGGCAGTAAAAGAAACATTTTCTATCCCTGGGGTGCATTCATTACAACCAATTTTGTATTAATTCTGAGGGCTCCTCGCAAATCCAATTCATCGGATTCGTCGTTCTATAGTACATTCGTTTATGAATTGCGTTCATTCAACATCTCTAAAATAGACAAGTCGCTTTAATTACAAATTTAATACCAAAAATAAACATTATAACATAATAAAACTTTTTACGAGCCCTTATAATAACTTCTACCATAAAACGTTATGGGATAACCATTTTTAAGAAGCGAGTTCATTTCTTAATGCGATCTATATTAGAAGACTCATCTCTCTATAGACGGCGAAAAAAATGGAATGCATTTAAAAAATAGATTGATAACCCAATACTTTTTCATTCAATCAAATAGCTAAACATCGCTCGTAAAGTTTATTTTGTCGTAAAGTTTATTTGATGCAAGTATATATTGGGAATCCGCCGTAGAAGTGCTAGTGTTATCGTTGAACAAGAGCGGTAAGATGGTTCAAATTGTTGGTCACTACAAACTTGACAGAAATGAGAATTTTGTCGAATACCTAGAGGCCTTAGGTGAGATATTTGTAAGTTATACGTTTTAATTAATATCCTCTGTAGCTTTTCTGGGTTACGTTTCGTTTAAACTTTTGCAGGGTCCCCCGAGGATATGATTAAAAAAGTCACAGTACCAGACGCAACCACTGAAATTGTTCAAGACGGTAAAACGTACACAATTAAAAGTAGTAGTCAGGTGGATGTTACGCTAGTGCTCGATGAAGAGGTTGACGAAGTTCTTCCTACAGGGGTACCCATTAAGGTACGAGCGCACTAGCTGAACGAAGCGGTTCAATAATTCAATTTGCAGAATTTAGCCACGCGGGACGGCAACAAAATTGTTGTGAATTCGAGTGCGCCAGATAATCGCAAAAGGCAGAGGGTTTACGAATTTTGTGATCAGGGGTATATGGTGGTACGCATTTTTCTTCTCGAAGCATGGCAATCTTTTAAATGATTCCATTTCAGACGTTGATGGTTGGCGACTTGGTAGCAAAGCGGTATTTCACTCGAGTTTAATATTGTTCAAGCTTCACTGTGCTTCTCTGCTAATTAAAAGACTGCGGCTACCAGTTTCTGAGTAACGGTAAAAAATTAGTGGAGCAGTTTTTCATTAGAGTTAGTATAAAACCTAGCATAGTCAAATGGCAAATGGCCATCAATAGTGTAAGTTTTCTTTGTTCATTTTTAGATAGGTAATTGTAAGTCAGTAAGGCTAGATAAAATTTATGTTCACACTGGTACGTAAAGTGGATCATAGTGCCAATTCTGAATATTTTCTACTTACAATTAGGATACAGCTTTCACAATATCTGTCTTGCAAGTAAAATAAAATTGTTATGGAAGTTGAGAAAATATATCTTTCAATCAATATTTGTTTTGGTTTTCAATTAACTTTTGCTAGTATTTGCTAAGAAAAGACAGTGGTTCTGCAATGTGCGTGAAGTTGGCACGGTAATGGAAGCACTAACGAAATATCCCCGTTTTTCGTGCCAACTTCATAAGCCTACCTTCAGCAGCTTCGACTGTAAACGTCAAAATACCGTTTTTTTCCATTCCCCGACAACCCCAAAGAAATCTACATGCAAATTTAAGCTTTCTACACCCAGTACTTTCCGCTGTTGGTAACAGAAGCGAGAAGAATCTGATATCCTTATATTGATTTTTAATTTTTGAAACACGGCGTGAATATACCTCTATCTGCATTTAAAGAGGGGCTTGTAGACGAACTCGAACAAAAACAAAACATATTTGATGTACAATAGACAAATCGTTATGTAAGTGGAAGTCTTTATCAACAACTTCTTAATACCCACCTAGAAAAATGTTTTCCACCACAGCTACTTCATTCTGGTTACGGATCTAGGAGACAAACACAGACTCATAATTAAAAATACGCTTAGTTAACAAAATATTGGCGCACTATACAGTTTTATATAGATAGAGGAAGTTTTAAATCTTGATGTTTAAAAACTTTAAGTGTTATTACTAACAACACTCTGCTACTGTGCCAATGTGTAATTAAGACATGCGGTGATTTAGAGATGGCAGAAAAATGAAGTGTTTAAATCGTCTTTAATAACTTGTTTTAAAGTATTTATTGCTGGAGTAAGCTAAACGAAGGGAAACTGCTTCCTGCTTTTTAGCTGTATCTAAGTGAATCCCAGGAATTGTACTAGTACAATTAAAATGATGAAAAATTCCCTTGGCCTAGGCAAAATTGAAACACAAATGACTTTTTTTTGCATTTTATTGTGAAAAGTGTCAATTTCAATATATTCAAAATCCTCATTAATTTCCGTCATCAGTGAAAGTCCCAGATGGCGGTTAAGTTTTGTATTTTTCATTTAAAAATTTATAATTTTATTATTTCAGTGCAATTTGGCAAAGAAGTGTTTAAAATACAAAGGTAAAAGTATATAAAATATCCACTAACTTCAATACGGCAATTTAAATATTTAACTATTTAGTTGTGAAATATTAAAGTGGTCACCAAAGTCTATAGTTATTTTTTGTACATTTATTTTCATATTATACATATAAATTACCAAACTGATGATAAGTATTGCATCACTCTAATTGCCTATTATACAGGGTGGTGCAAAATAGACTCCCTAATAGTTTCAAACTATCACTGAAGAGCACACAGGTGAGTAATGGTGTTAGCTGGAGGAAACTACGCCATGTTCAACTCATTAGGGAATGCAATACTGGGCTAGCAGGATCTCGAAATACCGGGATCCCGCAGCATTTTTGCGGGATTAATCCTGCACATAAATGGAGCGGGATCCCGCGGGATTTGCGAGACTGAGGAATTTGGGAATGCAATACTGGGCTAGCAGGATCTCGAAATACCGGGATCCCGCAGCATTTTTGACTCTGTTTGCTTTGTTAATGAAACGCATCACGGAGAAATTATTTTTAAAATAATTATTGTTAAACTTTTTTCGTTATAAATGTACTATGATTTTTGAGGCACTTTAGAAGTTCACCTATTTGTGCTTTACAGGTGATTTTTTTGAGCTCTAAGTTAGCTTGAAGGTACTTTTTTGTTGAATACTTATTGTGATAATTAGCGATTTATTTTAATACAGAAGTTAACCGCACAAAATTGCTTATTTACCAATTTATTTAATATTTTGCGGGATCCCGCAAATACCGGGATCCGGCGGGATTAACATCTAACGATCCCGCAAATACGGGATTGAGATTTTGCTGCGGGATTGCATTCCCTAGCTGTAACTTCTGAACTAGTAGCCCAATCTTGGCACTGTTTGAAATTATGGACTCTACAGGCCACGTTCTATAAGAAAATTTTTTTCCCAGGACGATGTGAGACAATTTTTTTTTCGGGGGCAAAAAAAAAGGCAGTGTATAACCTTCCTTTTTTCCAAAAATCGACTGCACCAAAATTTCTCGGGAAAACACTTTTTCTTATTAATTTTGGAGCCTAGAATCCAAAACAATTCGTACTTTTTCGACCAGACTTCTCAATCAAAAGTTATAGACTAGAAACCAATTTCGAAAGAAAATTCAAAGAGCTGTAACTTTTGAACTAGTAGCCCAATCTTGGAACTGTTTGAAAAAATGGATTCTACAGGCCCCATTCTAAATCGACTACACCAAAATTTCTCGGGAAAACACTGTTTGTTATTAATTTTGGTGCGTAGAATCCAAAACAATTCGTACGTTTTCGATCAGACTTCTCAATCAAAAGTTATAGACTAGAAACCAATTTCGAAAGAAAATTCAAAGGGCTGTAACTTTTGAACTAGTAGCCTTGGAACTGTTTGATATTATGGATTCTACAGGCCACGTTCTATAAGAAAAAGTTTTTCCCAGGGTGATCTGAGACAATTTTTTTTTCGCGGAAAAAAAAGGCAGTGTATAACCTTCCTTTTTTCCAAAAATCAACTGCACCAACATTTCTCGGGAAAACACTGTTTCTTATTAATTTTGGTGCGTAGAATCCAAAACAATTCGTACTTTTTCGATCAGACCTCTCAATCAAAAGTTATAGACTAGAAACCAATTTCGAAGGAATACTCAAAGGGCTGTAACTAGGGAATGATCTTTATGAGTTCTAAGTTAGCCTGAAGGTACTTTTTTGTTGAATACTTATTGTGATAATTTGCGATTTATTTTAATACAGAAGTTAACCGCACAAAAATGCTTACTTGCCAATTTATTTAAAATTTTGCGGGATCCCGCAAATATCGGGATTGAGATTTTGCTGCGGGATTGCATTCCCTAGTACTCATCATGCAGTGGTCGGGAATTTCAAGGTTCAACTCTTTATGTATCACACCAATTTGCATAAATTTTAGAAAAATGCATTGAATAACAAAATCTTTCACTCAACGAAGAATAGATTTATACATTTATTTATGTTTTCAATTCTCGCGTCCAATTTAACTATGGGTCGAGGTCGAAGAAATAATTGCATCTTAGAATAGGGGTGCAAATTCTGGTCACACTAATAGAGACTCCTACCGCTGTAACTTTGTTCTATATCGAATTTATTAAACGGGTAAAATTTTGGGTATTCACAATTTTGCAAAAGGTTTGCGAATTTCAAATTACCTTACTCTTAGTTAATCAAATCTCAATCTACTTTCAATTTGCACCCTCGTACGGAGTTTGGAAAGTAATTTTTTCGATCTTTATTCTATATTTGTGCTTAACTGTTATAATTGTGTGAGAATAGTTTTGCGTCTTGCTAAAATAGACACTTCCCACTGTATCTTGCAAAAAGGACCATTTTTGTTGCAATTTTGCCCAGATCATAATTTATTTTTACTGCACTATATCCATCATCCTCTCGGTTCCCTAGAATAAACCGGATGTAATAACCGATCATGTTGGCTCCTAACGATTCCACAATGAGCCTTGTGCCACTGCAAAGTCCTCGTTTTGGATTCAAGTTCCTCGACAGCATTACACAGCGGTCTTTTTGCGCATTTTCTAACCCATGTTGGAAGGCGCATTATGGACACTCTATTCGTCCGTTCGAAACCTCAACTACTACTACTAGGGCGGGGGGGGGGGGGCGGGGCTAGCTCGGAATCCACTGAACGAAAGTGATCACAATTTCAACCGACGAAGTTCCACTTTGGCAACATAACTGGCTCGACAATCTTTGCATTTTAGTTTTATAAGCTCCAAAATGAGAAGTTTCCAAATGATCCTTGGCTTTAACTAGACAAAACTTCAAATTGTTGGGGGTTGAAAACGAAACTTTAACGTTATGTTGGTTTATAATGAACAAATATTGAGGACTATAATATAAATAAAGAAGTTACACAAATTGTGCATGTTTAATTTCAGTGGATAGAGAAAAAACGTGGTATGGTTTTTAAAATTTTGAGGGGATGGCATTTTGTAGATTTCTAATGAAATGTAAGGCATAGTTTGGGTATTACGTGGTAGTAGTGGTGGATTGTCTATATAAACTAGAATTTATAAGAAATGAATGGCTCGGGGGCCACAAGATCCATCTGTTTCTACAGGGTTTATTTTTAACAACAAAAAATAGAGATTGTTTACGTCTGTGATAAACAATTATTAATTTTAATCCTAGCTGCAACACTTCTCTCTTTACATAGTTTGTATAATACCGTCGATGAACGTACGTACGTGTCATCCAGACATACTAACTTGTTCATGCGTTCATAAAAAAAATAATGGCAAGATTAAAGTAATTAAAAGTATATTGATCGATTTTTATGCATGTTTTGAACTCCGCTGAAGAGTAATTAAGTCTGCAAGATTGTAACTTTATCTTAAATCTTACTGTTGTATTTCTATCTTACTCACATTTTGTAGACCTAATTAAACACATAACTGAGCACAGTACGATACTTTTCAAGAAGATTTAAATTTAGCTAAGCCGTAAAAAATGTTTACGATCTTGCAAAATTCAATATAAAACTTGACCCTAATAAACTGGATCGTTATGAATATTATGGGGGTTCGTGTATAAAACAACTGAAGAACGTTACCATGTTACAGTTTTATTTAGTAAGACCACAGCGTGCATTTTTAAGATGGTTCAAATTGTCGGGCATTACAAGTTGCAAAAAAATGAGAAGTTCGCGGAGTACTTGGCGGCGATGTGTAAGGCGAAGCGAGTGGAGGAGTTAAAATTGACGTCCTCTTTTTAGCCACGTCGGAGGAGATTATCAAAAAGGTGACGGCGCCTGGAGTAACAACTGAGCTGAAAGTGGATGGAAATACGTACATGATTAAGAGTAGTTGCAAGAATGATGTGACCATTGTACTTAATCAGGAAGTAGATGAGCTTCTGCCAACGGGACTCCCTATTAAGGTGAGTATATTTGGAAGGGAATGAGAGCTTACTGGGGGTTTCGCAGAATCTTGCGAAAAAAGAGGGGAACATCATTACCGTGACCTCATCAGCAAATGATGGACGTAAACGAACACGAACGTATGAATTCTCGGACGAAGGATACACAGTGGTAAGTTGCTACATCCCAGAATGGGGGGTACCAGATCATATTAACGGCAACCTGTTGTTCGCTTTTACCCCTCATTTTGGGATACTATTGACAGCATTTCCTATTATTCTTTCTTTGCAGACTCTTACTGCCGGCGATGTGGTTGCTAAACGTTATTTTGTTCGGGTGTAGCTTGTACCTACGAGTTTCCTAGGGCGGCAGAAGGAAATGCATTGAAACCAAATCAAACGAAATGTTACAATTAGGTTTGTTATAGACAAATAAACAATTTCGCTTCATAAACCCATTATTATTGTTTGCAAGGGTAATATTGTGGGGGCAGATGTTTCCTTCCTCCAGACCTATTAAGTATCCAGATCCACATAGCAGAATTATATCCATTGCATATAACAAGCACATAGGTACTATCTAGGATTTTTATATCCATAGAATGTGAAAAAGTATGTCGCAAATGTCTGATGTATGTGCAAGGGATGTAAGTTTGGCAGACGTTTTAGATGTTTTATGTATATTCATGTATATGCGTCCGAAATGATGTGTATATTGGTATACTGACAAGTGGATATACCATGAATATTCCTGTAATATGCAAAGATGCTTAATAGGATATTCTATGTATGTTGCATACATTCCTCTTATATTCGGGAAGTTTCCTAGCATATATACATAAATAATTTCTTTTCATTGAGTTAAGTTTTCTGTTTATTAGATCTCTTAGTATATAATAGAGATCATAAATAGGTATCTTTTTTGACAAACTGTTTAAATTTTCTTAGCAATGAAATACCAAATCTTCATCAATTAGAAAAACAAACTCATTCATAACTCGCGGAATAACACTCCTGATTGAAAAATGAACGGTATTTGCAATGCACGTTTGTAAGGTCGGTAATACAGAAAATGCATGTATCTCGTCCAAAACGTATATACATATCTTATAAATCCATGTATATACATAGCACATCATCGCGAGGAGATATAAGGTATACAGGTGAACTTTTAATATACATAAAAGATACATACAAAGTGCGTGATACTCCTGGTATATTTTAGATTTATGAAGCATATATTTTATACTTTGTGTGCCTAAACATCCAGATCACATTCCAAATGTATATTTATAGAATATCCATACTTGACATAAAACATATATCCATAATGAATGTACATAGCATATACATAACATGGACATGATATTCTATGTACATACATTGTGGATTTAAAATGTATATGCGTAAGATATCGAACGCTATGTTGGTAAATTGTCGGTCATTAATCAAATGTTACTTTTCAATTACAAGGTAGGCCCCGAGGTAGGCCCCATATACAAGTATGTCGGAAAAGTAGTGGAACAAATTAAAAACTCTGATGGTTGCAGTTGGCATCAGAATACTTTGGTAACTTTCGATAGGCGTCAATTATTATTGATTTAAAGTCTATATGTTTATGCCCCCTACGTGTACTGGGATGCAGTGATACTTGCGGCATCCTCCAGTCTGAACCAATGGAGTGCAGGCTGATCCAGAAAGTTTGATCGATTCGGAACCTAAAATGGGGATGCAAATATATAAAAATAAATCGTAACCTGATGATATTGCCGAGAAAACCCATAATTCCAATGATTTTAGAAAGGTTTCGAACCATCACAGTAACAGGTACTTCTCCTTAGACAGGTGTTGCCCATCGGGATTGCGAATTTCAATTTGATATTCGCGAGTATCGTTTTCCACGTTTGCGTTCAACAAACGTTAAATTTTAATTAATAAAGTTAAATGTGCTGGAGAAAATATCTTTTAAGCAGCATGATCATATATTTTAATGATAATAATTGTGCCGTAATTTCTATTACAATGACACTTTTAGTTTTTCAGGAAGTAATTGGTATTCTACAACTCAACACATCTCGAATAATACGGTAGCTCTTAATTTAGATTTATTTTTTCGAATTTTTTTATGAAGTAAGGATTTCGTTTAGGTTTAGGGATGCACTTGCACAGACTCTAAAGGGTGGCAGAAGTATATAGGTACTTAATCATTTCAAAACTTGAGTAAATTTAGATTTGTGGTTCGGAGTTTCCAATTAAAGATAAGTGATCGTTTTTTTCTGCGTCATTTGAATTCTACAGTGTGTTGACCTAATGACTTTAGGAAGTTTGGAGACCGAATGTCGGGGTAACAAGAGATAAAAATTTAACATATTTTGGTTTTGAGGGCTCAAAACTTAGAGAAAACGTCTTCTGGATTTACTCCTGGGGTTACGATAACCACATTTGGTCAAGTTCCGATTCCAGCTTCATCTGGTAAAAAGTCGAATTGCCATTTGCTGATACGAGAGTAGAGTTTCGAGAAATCGAACTTGATAAAGGTTATAAGGGAAACCTTACCAACAAGAGTACTCGGTGAAGTCGCTTGGAGTAGGGCAAAAGAGAATCAATTTCATGTTATTTATTCTCAATCGCATGTAATTTAAGGGACGGGAACGTAGCAAACGAATTAATGATTAAAGATGGTCGTATTCATTCATAGGAAGCCATTTTGTAAACGTTAATTAGTTAAAAATCAATAAGTAGGGATTATTTGTGGAAGATTTTGCATTAATTCGGGTCTAGACCAGCAGGCGCGATCGACGTGTGGTCCAAAATAAATTTTCTACGAAATTCGGCTTCGGGCTACGAGATAGGATACAAAAGATAATTTTTTTCGAGTTTAAATAAAAAAAAGTATCTATTTCGATTGCCGCGCTAAGTTTCGTACCGAGATCACCAGAACGAACGGGCATCATATAAAACCAAGTTGTGATTTCGAGTATTTTTCTCGAAACTGAAATCTTCACGCGAGTTTCATGAGTTGCGCAGAGAAAAAGAATGAGCACCCAAGAGCTATTTTACTAGAAACTCTCGATGCACCGTAATTTCTTATCTATTTGGTTTGACTTGGTGGCCACCTTTCTTCTCTTCTACTCATTTGGAATTTTTTTAGAAATTTTTTTGGAAAACATGGAATTATTATAGAAGTCATGGAATTATTATAGAATTTATGGAATTCCTTATAGAATTCATGAAATTATTTCGCAATTTTTGGAATTCATTTCATGTTGCGGTTCACTTTATGCCAATTTTTATATAATTACTTACTCCCTCGGTATGACTGTATGTTTTGCACGGGACTAAATTCACCTTATCCGCCAAAAGACGCTCCGTCAGAAAACGATTCTAGTATGCATCTCAACCGCACTCAACAAGTGTCACTTTTAAATTTTTTAGTTTGTACGTTTTAGTCTTTGAACCTAAGGATAGCTGCTGATTTATTCTCAGTCACGATATAGGAATATTCAGCCCTCACCACTGGATGCCATGATGACAGCATTCACATGCTGAAACCACACGTTCTAAGAGCTTGACTCAAAATGAACTAAATTATTGCATCGACCTTCACAATCATGAAAGTAAAGTTTTACCCTCTCTTTATTTTCTCTGTAACGTTATTAAAACATTCAAAAATACAAAAATGCAAAAAAATACAAAAAATACATCAATATCAACTTACTGGAATTAATGGAATTCGTTTTGGAAGTTACGGGAATTCAATGGAAATCTTTGGAAAACAATGGGATTTTTTGGAATTCAATAGAATTATTAGAAACGCCTATTTAAAATTAATAATTACGGATCATTCACATTACTGAATGAAATTAACGAAATTTCCATGAAAAATACTTAACTAAAATTATATTTTCGACAGTAGGTCTTTAACATGCACATAAATACGGAATTCTTCCAATATCAAATTTACAAAAAGTGCCGCTGATTAAAAATACGTAGAAAATCTAATTATCAATGAAAACCTTTCTTTTATAATTTATGTTATTAAATAAATCCAACCAATAATACTTTAATTTTTTACATTAAGGATTGATGATGATTTCAAAATCCACTATACGTTGTTTAAAAGATGTTTCCTGAAATTGATGTTTTCCAACGGATACAAAACAAAAATGGACTCTGTTTCTTCTGTACAATGGAAACATCTGAAGTTACTCTGAATTGAAATTTATTGTTTAGCAGGTACTAAGTAATTGTTCTGCAGATGCGCACTAATAATAATGTAACGCGTCACGTTTTAATGTGAAACTACGTTTCCGGTTAAGTTTCTCATTTCATTCGCGTTATTTTTTACTAAAAATTGACGCACCCTCAACATAGAGACGAAATTTTATCGCAATAACCGAAATGGTTGTAGTTATTATTATTATTATTTATTTCCATGCTTCATTACAGGAATTTCCAAATTACAACGAAGCAGTTACTTGAAAATATATACATTCACAAAACAGATAGACAGAAATAAAGAGAACTAAACCTAAATTATAACATCGATACTAATAATTGTAATGGAAATCATAATGGAAATCATAATGCAGGTGATGGAACTTAAAAAATTGATTAATGACATTATTTAACGTAACTTATTTATAATTTATAGATGATACAATTTATAATTTAAACTTAAAAAAAAATAAAAAAAAAATTATAAAAGAAAAACTATTTAAAAAAATTATAATAATGGGCAATGAATTCATAAAAACTACACAGTATCAATACAGACTTTGAGAAAAGAAGATTGAGAAGCAAGAAATATGTCGATATGCAACGAAACCTTGTTATAGAGGCGTAACATGGCAATTAATGGCGAATGAAACATCATATTTGTGCGCGAATGAGAAATATGAAATAGAAATTTACTACGATTGAAATAAGTTGGTACTAAAAAATTAACTTGACTCAGTAAATTGATGTCGTTAACGGAACCATGAATTAACTTGAAGACGAAAGTTAATTGAATGATTTTTCGACTCTTATGCTTATCTAGACTCTGCATCTGAAATAAATCTAGCAATCTTGTAGTAGAAACCAGTACTGGATATTGACCCTCAGTCTTAAAATACAAAAATCTTAAAAATCTGTTGGCATACTTTCACAAAGAAGGAAACTAAACTAAAAACTTTCTCTCTCGTAACTAACTTAAATTCCCGTTCTCGGCTAAAGCGTCTTAACTTTTCAAATGGGCCTACACTGGTCACTTCTAGGGCAATGTAAAATTTTCACCCTTAGACGATATAGTAGTTTACCACCTACAAAAACGACGTTGGTTTAAATCCCACCTTACGGATCATACTAGAGTCCCCATTTTTGGAAATATGCCAGTTTTGCAGGTTCCATGATAGTGAGTCTGCAAATCTAACCCAATAGTATCAATACAAAAAATGAAATACGATACAAACTCCAGACTTTATGGCTTTACGGGTTTCCGAAGGCAACTAAGAAAACACTCTCCATATAAAAAAATACGCAAATACGTCCCTTTCACTGCAGTTGACCAATTTATTCTCCCAAAGGCTAACAACACCTTTATCCTAAAATCCGAAAATAATTTCTACCCTATACGTTTTGATACGCTATGTTTAAATTACTCATCAAGCACTCAAAACTTTTACATTCCCAATCTCTACTTCATAAAGAAATTTCGACAAAATTTAAAGACACATTTATTGAAAAAGTGCAATGTTGTTTTTACAATTGGGCAGAGACAAATGTATTTCGAAGAATTCATGAAAGTAACGCAATTTAGATTCGTGGATGAGTATTGTAATTGTGACCCATTTGCGGTTTGCGCGGTTGCATTTTTTCAGTATCGTTAGGAGTCTTATTTATTTAATAGTTTAATGTGCCCAAAACCAAGGGTGTTCACAAATTATTCTGAAAAGCGAAATTGAAATTTGAAATCGTGTAAGCAACGCCGTTGTCGTCACCGGTACATCCAAGTATAGTTCGAAATTTGCAGCGCAGACTTCTCATGCCAATTAGTCCCAATAAAAGTAACCAGACAATATTAAATGATAAAGAGCCTATTAAGAACCACAATTGTTACCTCGTACAGTAAGCTAATTAAAATCGGACTTTGTTCACGTATGCACTCCGAAGTAAATTTAGCGATCGTTCATTTAGTCCTTGGTCACTTAAACTCGAGGTAGCATTACTTTAAAGTGAGTGCCAATATGGTGCAAATTGCCGGAACTTATAAGCTAGAGAAAAATGAAAATTTGGCCGAATATCTAACTGCATTAGGTGAGTTGGGCGCGTGCACTTTAAACGCGAAATAACGCATTCTGCAGGTATTTCCGAAGAGAAAATTAAATTAGCGTCGACACCGGGTAGTACGGTCGAAATTACGGTGGAAGGAAATAAATATACGTTTAATAGTAGCGTGATGTTCACAACACTCATTCTTAATGAGGAGGTAGACGAAAAAGTTCCATCGGGAATTACTGTTAAAGTAAGAGCCATACAAAACGTAGGGTATTAATTACTAGTTTCCAGAGTAAGGCAACATTGGATGGTAACAAATTATGTATTGAATCATACTTCCCCGACGGACGAAACGGCACCCGTATATTCGAATTTAACGAGGAAGGTTTTATCGTGGTAAGCTAATGAGAGATCATCACGTTGTTTGCTGTTAAGGGAAATTATTCTGTTTTAGACAATGACCACGAGCTCGTTAGAGGCTAAGCGATATTTTGTGAGAGTTTAACTTAACCTACTTGTAACTAATGCCAGCCATTCGTTCTGTACCTACACATTGTTCTGGTATTTTTTCACTTTTTGCTGCACGACATACATACCTAAAAAATAAATGAGTTTCAAGAATACTCTCATTTGGTACCTTGCCCACCATTGTTGCATCAATTTATTAGAGACGTACATAACACGACTATTTAAAAACAATGTTTACTAGATGGTTTGGAAACCTTTGGGATGCAAGCATTAGAAGCGTTAATTACAGCTAATCATAAATTTGAGATATAGTACGTTGCGTACGCCAAAAAAAACTGCACTTTTTGATTGGAATATGCCACTTTCTGTGGTAATAGTTAATACCAAAAGGCAACTTTTGAGATAGGGAGCCACTCGAAAATCCGTGCAGGAAACCAAAATGGTGGCCGTCAAAATGGCGCCATTAGCCGCAATATATTTTTTTGTATCTCTGCTCCTAATAGTCCGATTTTAATTTTCTTTTTTGTGATTGAAAGCTCTTGGGACGAGGAAACTTTTTTGTTATATAACATTTATTTCTAAAACTTAAGGATTTAGCACAATTGTAAAAAAGTGTTTTTTTTAAGAATTTGAATCACACGTAAGCTCAACCTGATTTTTATGTGTAACATATGTAAGGATTTGTATTATTCAGCACAATATTCTGACTCTTAAGGTCTGATGATGAATCGGTCTATACGATTCAAAGTCGATTAGCTAAAGAAATATTAAAATTCAATTATTTGAAAAACGAGTTTTATTGTATCAATTTGTATCGACAAATAATTCACTACGTCAAGAAAATAGCGGTTGCTATTTAAAAACAGTATCCCCCTTTGACCGTGCAGAAGTATGCTACTGACCCCAAATTGAATGTACGTGGATTGGTAGCAAACTTTTTATAATTATGGATGTCATAAAAAGCTTCTTTAAAAAATGTTTTGAAGATAAAATTTTCACCCTGTATAAAAATCATATCCGGAAAACGGTTAGCCTAGCGGTTAGCATTACGAAAAAAAATCGATAACACCTACAAAAATAATTCTTTGGTTAAGGGATACCCGGGGATACCTATAAAAAATATCAAAATCTATAGGCTGCCCTCGAGAACACCCTATATACCTAAAAATACGTTTTAGGCTTCCCCTCAGGCTTCTCGTACCAACAAACCGTTACCATTAATCTCAACAATTGAGACTCTATCGTCCGCTTACAGAAGGTGGATTCCCTGTATAATAAAAATGATTCAACTTATATGAATAGGTATAAACTTGGAAATCATAATATTCCGTTAATATTCTTAAAGAAAACCCGAGAGAAAACCCTCGAAAAAACCCATGATCTGATAAATAAGCACTCCAAATTTCACATTCGTCGTATCTTAAACCAACTAGTTAAATAAAATAGGATAAGTGTTTGATCTCGTGCCTGATGAAACAAATATTGCGCATTTTTCAAAAAAAAACATGGCGTATTGAAATTTTCCGAACTCGCATGGTAGATACAAGGAGTTTTGGGGTAAAAAAATTTCGTAAAAAATCCCTTTTTTAAAATTGTGCTAAATCCTTAAGTTTTAGAGATAAATGTTATATAACAAAAAAGTTTCCTCGTCACAAGAGCTTTCAATAAAAAAAAGAAAATTAAAATCGGACTATTAGGAGCAGAGATACAAAAAAATATATTGCGGCTAATGGCGCCATTTTGACGGCCACCATTTTGGTTTCCTGCACGGATTTTCGAGTGGCTCCCTATCTCAAAAGTTGCCTTGTAGTATTAACCACAGAAAGTGGCATATTCCAATCAAAAAGTGCACTATTTTCACCATTCTAGCCATGTACCCGACGTACGAATACTAGTCCAGGGAATAGAGGGTTTTAACTTGCAAAATGAGAAGTAGTTCCAATTTTTTTTGCATGTCATAGACAGTCATTAGGTTAGGATGAAGGATTTTAAGGATGAAGCTGAACTGAAGTGAGATAATTTTTTGTTTCAAACGTATATTAGAAAGCCCTACAATCTCATAGTGATTCAAATATCCCCACTAGCAAGGGTTGAAAGTTGAATTATTATGCATCCCCTTTGGTAAGGGTGCAGCGTAGGGGGTATTTATACCACGATAAGTTCAAGATATTTTCTCATAAAATTCGTAATTATAGAGATAAAGTATAAAGTTTGGTTAAAACATCTACATAGAAATTTCAGAATTCTTAAAAATATAAGCAACTCTGTAGCTCTATACCGTTTTTAATAAACATTTCACAAAAAGTGTGTATATCAAAGTTGTGTAGAATTTTATAGTCTACAACTTCTGATAACAATATATTTTTGTAAAATGAATCTATAAAAGATATGATTGAAAAACTAAAAAACCAACCAAATTTCTTTGGTTTAAAGGGTGGTGCGGGGGAAGCACAAGGGGTGGGAAGTCGAAAACTTCTTAACCACCAGATATTCTTTCATGACATGCAAAAAAATTGGAACTACTTCCCGTTTTGCAGCAAATGGTTCATTTTCAGTCTCTATTTCATGGACTATACCTTCAGAAAATGTATCTACCACTATTATAGATTTGGAAATTTCACTGCATCAATTAATTCATTAGTTTATCTGAAATTGACACTATTAGAAATGTTAAAAGGAAAGCATTAAGCTGTATTATGGTTTAACATTATCGAAATTGCAATTGTAATATTTTGATCGAAGAGTTTGAGCAGACCCTCACTGATCACCAACTCCACGTTTTACTAATTTAGTAACGATTGTTGATCAAGCTGCATGATTTGTTATTTTAGGCATTTTACATCTACACGTTTTCCTGCTGAGTGAGCACTCAAGTTCAGTGCCAAATTTTTGTCATCCTACATTCTTTTGCTCTCTCTAATATGCCGTGGCCGTGTTATCATAAACTTTCTAAGTGATTTACGAAAATAGGAAGTAGGTGATCTATTTTTATTTAGGAAGCACAAAACAGTACCTTACTGGTCACGTTTTCGGAGTGTTCAAATTCGGAAATTTAAGAGTCCGCTAACTGAGGATTGAGGAAATGTGGAAGAAATCGGCTGTCCGTCTGTCAAACAATTGAAAAAGAAACACATATCGCTGTGTCCATCATAAGAACTAGTCTTTTATTTCACTGATAAGAACCGATGTGTGCCTTAAAAAATCCTTTACCTCAAAATTGGCTGCAATGAAAATCTACAAATGAACGCGGTACCAATTTTGTTAAAAGTAAAAAATTAATTCTGTTTGCAAAAAAAATGTTGCTTGACGCCTAGCTTTTAGGCTATGCTCGGGGAGATCCCAATTGTGAAACGAGACGATGTACTTCACGAAAATTACAATGGGAAACTCCGAATACCCCAAAGTCAAGTGACGAAGATAATGAAGAAGGTAAAGAAGTGCAAGAAGGGTGTTAGTTACTTGACGTACTGATGTTTGTAAAGTTAGAAGGGAACGCCTTATCTAATAGGCAATCCTTATTTTTCCCGTAGTTTACTATCCTTAAAATGAATACAGACGACCTAACTAAAGTGGATTCAGCGAAAAAGTAAACGTCTCTCATTAACGCTTAGGGGAGTTCCCAAAGTTATTGCGATAAATGATATTATTGAATTTGAATCTTAAATGTAGGGGAAAAACCGCAGTCTTACGGTTGAAGTTGTTCAATAGAATCCTTACGGCTTGTTTAAACGAATCAATCACACTATTCATTTAAACAAGCCGTAAGGATTGTATTAAACAACTTTCGACCGTAAAACTGCGACTTTCCCTTACATTTAAGATGCAAACTCAATAATACCATTTATCGCAATTCGCTGAATCCACTATATTTATGAACGAAACAATGTATCACAGTCGGCAATGAAGTAAAGTAAGTAAATCGTTTTTTTCATCGGAGTCCTCAACCGCCATTGACTCAATAACATCTCCTGAAGCTCGGAAAAATTTCTATATATTTCATATTAACACGCAATCGTTAACCAGTAAGATTATCCAATTAGAAGCTTTCTTAAGCGACAAACCAGTAGGCCTTCTGTGTATAAGCGAGCACTGGTTGAAAGAGGAACAGCTACAGTCGCTCCGAATGAATGGGATGACAGTGGCCTCCTACTACTATCGATCCTCATCAACCCACGCTGGAGTCCTTATCCTCAACAAACCAAATGTGCCAGTGAAACCGCTCAAGTATATCAACAACTTATCAACAGGAAATCACATGGAAATTAAATCTGTTGCGTACAGATGAAGTCCAAAACAGCAGTGATCTGTGTCTACAGACCACCACAAGGTGACTTTAACATTTTTTACTCTACGTTAGAACTTATGCTCACCAAGCTAATTAATTTTAATATTGTTCTCTTGGGCGATTTTAACGTTCACTTTGGAGTAGACAAAAAATCCAAATATTGTGTAAATTTTTAGAAGCAAATGGATTTGCTCGAACGGTTTTTCAGCGACTAGAGGAAAAAACTGCTTGGACAATATATTTATCAATTTTTTTTAAGTTGCTACAATGTAGATACTATAACTACAGGTTTATCTGACCACTTAGGGCAACACCTTATTTTAGAGAACTTTATGACAACATTTAACAATGATCGTCATCAACCTAAATCCCACCGTCCAATTAATGTTGAGTAAAAGTGCAAAGTGGTTCAATAATGATCTGCATAAGTACAACAAGTATGGCTTACCAAAAGACAGATGAAAGTTTGCCTAATTGCAATTTATAAGAAGGAGATTAAATCAGCAAAAATTAATTGGAACGATAATGTAATAGGGAACTAGGTAATCCTATTAAGTCGATGTGGACCATAGTCAACTCGCATAGGAACAGCAACAAAAAATTAACCACTACATTAACTGCAAACGACTTTATCGTTTACTTTACTAACGTCATTAATGAGCTACTAACAGTTCTTCCTTGCAGTAACTTTGACCCATACGTTATTGTAACACTCCAAGTTTCGAATTCAAATGTATTTCGGAAATCCAAGTGCGGGATGCAATTAAATCCATGAAGAGCAGCAGCCCGAAAGATATATTTGGCTTTACAACAAAATTAAGTGTAATTATTTATTTATTATTTATTATCCCTCTCTTGTTCTGGGCCCTC